TGTTTTCACACTTCAGTAAAAAGCACTACAAAAATTACATAAATGTATAACCACCATTTAAATATAAATAAGTATTCGAGGTGATTTATTCATTTGTACAAACATACGCACATATAACAAAAAATACATATACGTTACCGTAAAAAATAAATAAGAACCAAAAGTTCAGATTTTCACGAAATTATGTATTTTATATAATTTATAAAATACATAATTTCGTGAAAATCCGAACTTTTATTTCTTATTTATTTTGATAAATGGATTTTCATCAAGTAAAAGCCTCCTCAGTTCAACGTTATCGTAAGCTAAAATTCTTAGTTAATAAAATCAAATCCGACATATTGTTGCATATTATAAAACGTTATTCCCCGAAAGACATTTTCTTACATTAGCAATGAAAAACATATTAAATTTTAGATTAATTTTGTTATATAACCAAGCCATAAATAAATAAAAAATGGTTTTATGTGGATGGTTCTCATTTTTGAAGTTCACACTACTTTCAGTTACTGTGTCTTATCAAACTGGTTACATAATAAATATTATTATCTATTATTCACTACTATTTCGCATTTATATAGTTACTATTGCTTTATTTTTAATCTCGATCTTAAGCGGTTCAGGGCAAAAAATTATTTGGAAATCTCTAATACTAAGAAAATTAACAAACAGAAAAGCCACCATTGGCATCGAATCCAGCGCAATACTTCTCATTGACCTAACAAAAAATGTGTTGCTGTTAACCCTATTGCATCAATCCCTTAATATGGTAATTATATTTAAATTTTGCTAAATCAAACTAAAAACCTAATTTAAAATTAGCAAGCAAATCTATATATTTTCTACTAATAGTAATTTCAGTAGAAATCCGAGGCTCGACTTGTTCCCCTTCTATTTAAAAAACATTTCACGGTTAAACGTGGATTTTGCTCTATTTCAAGGATACATCCAGCAAACCCATAATTTACGTCCCAAAGATTATAATGGATTATAAGTAGCCAACTCAAAGCCTACCTGAAAATGTTAGCGAAAAGTGTTAATTCCGAAAATTTTAAAGGAGATTTGATATTTTAATATTGCATTAAATAGAAGTCAGAAATAAAAACTAAAAGCGTGATTTTGTTGAAGGTATCGTCATTTCCAGAATTCTATAATTTATCCTTAAAATTCTGGCAAAAATGGTGCCGACACCGCATTGAAATGTTTGAGAAGCACTCTAGGAGAAGCTGACTGCTTTCTGCCTTGCCCCAGGATCGGTTTTCTGCGATTTATGGCGGATATAAGAAAAGCTCAGTATGGAAATTTCTGCTGCAATTGCACTTTGCCCGAGGAGAGACTATACAAGATGACATCTACATTTTAAATTATATTCAAAGTCAAACTTTTAAAGAGCTAAAAGCTGGGCATTCGTTGTTTACTTTTCTTTGATGTATTATCTACTGCATTGCGGGTGTAGGTTTAAAATGCCATATAACCCTTCTTTTCCTGCCAATATCAAAATGCGTAAGAATACATTCACTGTTATCATAAATCCCAATGCGAACACAGGCAAAAAAAAAACATTAATTTTGAGGAAAATTTTCTCTGTTTTAGTATACGATTATATAAAATTTGAAATCTCCTTCGACATTCTAAAATGTTGTTGTAGCTTTGTTCCAAAAGGCCACGAGAACCGTTTCCATCAATTAATTTATTTGTCAATTTTTACATGCCTGTAACGTGTCAAAAAATGGTTGGGCAACAGAAAATTGCCGGTTCGGGGGCCCTGTCGTGTTGGAACAATTTTTATGTTTAAGATTTTGGTTCGTGCAGATAAAGTCACCTTACATTTGTAACTATTTAGATCGCCTTTTTTATAATAAAAGACATCATAGATATTGATTGATTATTGAAGAATTACATCTATTGAAAATTGATATTGAAGATTCTATCCAAAATCGTTTAGACATTTGAACAAAATCGCGCATGAGGGTCCCTTTTTGTTCAGTAGAATTATGCTTAATATATTTCATCTAAAGTAAATTCGATCCCTCGACTTTTTTTCTCACAATAGTTTTGAGCTAGAAACATAACAAACATTTTTGGAATATTTCGAAATGGCTGTCAAGTCTGGTTTGCCGTCGCTTGAAAATATTTATGTGATGGGGTTTATTTAATGGTGCCACACTAACACAAAAAAATCTGAAGATTCTTCGATATCTAATAGGTACATTAAGCATATGATCTACAAAAAGCAATGTACACCAAAATAATAAAGTAATACAAATGCCAAATAATCAGAGAAATTTCTTTTTGAACAACATTTTTTTTCGTGGAAGTTTGACACGGATAGGGATCATTTTTTGAAATATATTTGTAAAAGGAAATTTTTAAAATTTTATACAATAAATCATCATTTAGAGCACAATGTTCGTTTCATAATATTTCAAATAGAGTTTATCCAGAACTTAGGACGAAGATTAGGAGGTGAATTGGAACTACTAAAAAAAGGCTCATTGTACCTAGTTTATTAAATTTACCAATAGATTACACATAAAATGTGTGTTAGTGCTGTGTTATTTTATTGCTGTTGTTACTTTTGCTATTTTTATATTGTTATCTGAGTATTCAAGGCAGTGAAGGCATTTTGATAATAAAATAGCCAGTAATGGCAAAAAAAAACGAAAAAAATGTTTACACTTGAAAACAAATAGCACCAAAATTTTAATGTAGGTTCCTGTTTCAGCTTTAAGCTTCGGGTTAAAAGCTGAACAAATAAACGTCCACCGATTCGAGAGCAATTCTGGCCGTGACCGACTCAACCTTTAAAGTCGCCGCTTTCAATAGTGCAGGCGCTGCCATATCATGTGAAGTATCCCGGTAATGGATATCAACGTGTCTAATATATTCCAGCACACGCGTTTGTCGGAAAGCCACCCACAGAGACGTTTTTATGCTAGAGTTTTAAAAATTAAAAAACGATCTCATTAAAGGCGTAAGATATATTTCAATCTCTCATAACAAGCGTCGAAACTTTTCTCGCAATAAATACATTTTTTTTTATCTGTCGGTTAAATATTTGTACTTTTTGTACAAAACTAATGACCAACAACAGAGGCTAAATTATATTGTTAAACCCAAATTACGTTTACATGCTCCAATTGTAATTTAGTAATTTGGCTTTGGCAATTGGCTTTCAAAATCCGCAATCAAAATGTTTATTTTTAAAAAAGTTCAACGAGATTGTTTACCTACATCATACAAATAGGTGGCATAGTCAATATTTGAAGTATACAACTACTGCTTATTGTTGCAAGCCGTTTTTTCGCCAAACATTACTAGCGGAAGAGTGTCGATATAAAAGGTTTTTTCAAATGTTCAATTTGCAGTTTTAAATAATTGTTGCCATTTTCAGAAGTATGAACTGCAGAGTTCAGACAAAAAAAATTGTTCTCTTCCAATCGACAGTGTATGTTCGCTCTTTATGGTTACAAAAATAAATTTATAAATAACTAAATTGTACTAGAGTAGTAATACCGTAATTATTCCTGAATTCTGCAATTATCAGTCAGTTAAAGCACAATATTAGTGAATACTGAGAAACTGCAGTACTTTTATTCCAACTTGTCAATGTTGTACTTTATTATATTTACTATTATTATTTTTTTACTTTTATTATTATTTTACATAATACTTGTTTCTGTAGAAATTACAAAAAAACTTTAACTCCATATTTGTAAAGAGAAGTATGCTACGCAAATAAGTTATTCTAAACAAAATATGTATGTAATAAAAATAACAAAAATAGAAAAATAGCGAGGCAGTATAGGGTTGGAATTCAAGGACATAATAAAAAAATGCACTCAACACAGTGCTTAAAACAAACGTCCCCAAGATTACGAATGACAGAATTATAACTGTATAGGCTAGATCTATAACTAATACGAGTCAACAATAAATATCCCAACCACCAATATGTCTCGATCACTTAAAGCTAAGGGCGCCGACACATCCATAATGACTAGTGCTCGTGCTCGGGCGCCTGGTGATCATCTAGACCCCGAAAACTTTATCTTTTCAATTCATTCTTATTGTTGTTGGTATCATTAACCAACAAAACTTTTACTAGGAAACCAAAATCAATTTACTGGTAACTTGCCATGTCGCATCATTTGGCAAACATATGAAAGCATCAGCTTTCAAGAACATTGCAATTCGGTTCCACCACCATAATCCAGTAAAGCACTGTTTACTGGAATATTTATTCACCTTTGGCGACACATGCCCCTTCAACAACGCCATGCTTATCGGAATAACAGCTTCGGCGACACATGCACTCGCCAATCAAGCAATGCTTATCGCAACAATCACTTTCGGCAACACAAACATACAACACAACACAATCAAAATAAATCAGGTCAGTGAAAAAGATATTTTACAATAATAATAATAATAATAATAATAATAATAATAATAGTCTTTAATTATACTTAAGATACTTTCCGAAATATACATGAGGCGCAGGATACAGTACAACATTCTGAAAGCGCGAACTCTAGCTGATTTAACTCAGCTACTCAACAATTATACACCTTTTTACACTACATGATAAATACATTTTACTCTAATCAGTTTAATGATAATAAATATACTTAGTACTACAAGAGAAACCATACTAAACAAAAATAAAATAAAAATAAAATCAAGAGATAGGATAATCGAAAAACCCAAGTCGCACTTTATTTTAACAAGAAATCCGCTTGCATTGACTTTCATGCGGCTTAGCTGTCGAGAAAAAATTAAAATCTGCGAATTAGAAGCCATTAGAATAACAAAATTTTATTTAAAGTATTATGAAGTAAGCAAAGTATTTTTGGTCTTCATGTCGAATGTCAGTTTCAAATAATGCATCGTATTAAGTAAAACACCCGGTATTTCCACAAAGCTGTATGACGTTTAACACACTTGAAGTGTTCCACCACTTCTATCCGAGATAAGGTTTCGAAATTAATAACCATTATTAATAGCTATAACAACAAATTAAATCAACTTGAAAAATGTACTGCGTGTTAGCGGTGTTATGTTGGGCTTGTATTGGCTTGACTTTCGGCCTGCCTCAGGTAAAATAAAAAAAAAATTAATAGAATAGAAATTTCGCTTTATTTTAAAGTCAACGGATTAAAGGCATAGATAGATCTATCTGACAATGCATCGAACAAATAAAATTGTTAAATATTTATCGTGAAAGTTACAACTAAACTGACCCGCATTGAATAAGAAGTTTAGATGGTTTTAGTTTAGTCTTCTGCTATAAAGATACAGTCCAATAATCACACTTGATTATCTAGGGTTAGGGTATCCAAAAAACTAGAAGAATTTAATAGTATATTTGGTTATGTGTGTTTATACAGCGTAAGTAAAAAAATTGGAAATATGGTTTTATATAGCTATCCCAAAATAACTGACTTTTGCTTTTTGCATTTATATAAAGGTATTTTCTCTTTAATACTCATCAGTATAAATTGATATATCAATATCGGTTATACCTTCTATCGTAATTATATTTTATGTGCTTTTTATATCTGCTATAATCTCGATTAAATATGGCTAATGTTACAAAGTAAATAAGTTTTTAGATTTTACAAGCACGTTAATTGCAATCATCCTTATTTGTCCATTCGCAAAAAAAAAGTTTTATCTTTTACAACCGATGTGTTCCCGATTTAATATCGCGGGGAATCAAAAAAAACAATGTTGATAGATAATTGATATCTTCGAGAGATTAACTCGGCAAGTACTTTGTCTTAATTTAAACGAATTCATTGGATATTGTTTTCTTACGCGGACTACCTAATAAAACTTGCAACTATCGAGTGTCCGGTCTGGCAAAAGAAGTTAGTTTTACACGGAACGAAAATGCGAATATGAAAAATTATTCGTATGTCGCAGGCGAGGCAGGAGTTAAAAATTAACCTTCCGGCCCTTACCCCCGTTTCTACATGGAAATATAGAAAATATTTATCTATGTTACATTCAAATATCCAACTGACTATAAATTTTAAACAATAACTTTTATAAACACCATTCTACATACGAGGATGCGCAAAACTGTCTTCTAACTTTCTTAATTTAGACACCATTGCGTCCGAGAGTCATCAACGGTCAAGAAGTGAGTCCCCATTCGGTTCCCTATCAAGTACTGGCTACGTTTGATGACGGTCATGGCCTTGGGTTTTCGTGTGGAGGCGTGCTCATTTCGCAATACGCCGTATTGACAGCCGGTCACTGTGTCTACGGGTAGATTGGTTTTAACTTCGACAAACATGTATTTAACCTCATATATAATTTAGAAATGTCGGCTGCACCGTCACTTTAGGAGTACACGATATAAACAAACCTGAACGTGACACCCGACAGGAATATAGATCATACGAATTGTATTTACACGAAGGCTATGACGACAATACCTTTCAAAACGACATTGGCCTTGTTAAATTGCCTCAGGCAGCGCAACTTACTTCGAGTGTACAAACGATCGATTTACCAACCCAACAAGAGGTCGAAAATATAGTAGGTCAATATGCTGTTGTTTATGGATGGGGCCTTACGGATTATGCTCATAATATAGGTAACTGGTCCTGGCATCACGTTATAATTTTGATCGGTAATCTTTTATCATATTCGAGCGATGAAAATTGAAAAAAAATAAAATACAAACGATGAAATCTTGGAAACCAAATGATATAGTTATTCACATTGCAACTTCACTTTTTCCACTAATCAAATTATTCCGAAGTGTTTATTTATTACGTATTTATATATTATGTATTTATAAAGCTGAGAATATTTTTTTTAGGATTAACAAAATGAATGAAATATGTGATAAAAAAACAAGTAAATTAAATAGATAATTTATGTACAGCGGTGAAAGGTTCTTCTTTTTATAGATTTCTCCTGTGTCGCTGATGTTTCGCCAAACATGCTGTTGTCCTCTTCAGAGCGCTGTCTGGAACTGATTTGATGATTGCTCTTCACGAACCTTAAATTACCTACCTGACAGAGAGGCGGGGGGACCATGGTTATATGCAAGTACAAGCATTGCCTTTCAAATTTTTGCATTTAAATGAAACAAAAAGTAACAGGTTCGAAACAAAGTGTTTTATTGTTTTTCTAAAAATATTTTAAAAGTCGGGTATTCTTAAGATCATGATCATGATATCGTAGAAACATGGTTTTGAAGGTCCTCAACAGCTCCTTGAGGTGATGAAAATGATAAATGGGACATTAATTAGATCTTTTTCTCTTTTAAGGATTCAGTTGTTTGACGTGCTCTATGGGAGCAGGCATTGTCGTGATGAACAATGACGTTCTTTTCGATTGTTTGAGATATTCTAAGAGACGCCTCTATCCATCTGTAAGCCACATCTTTAATCATCTTGGGCACAGCATCGATGTTTCTCGGAATGATCACCAATTTTGGCCAAGCTTCTTGATATTGTTCAATGATGGAGGCACGATCATGACGAAATTTTACAAACCAATCGTAAACAATCATCTCTGATGGTGGTTCATTACCAAAAGTTGCACAAAGCGATTCCATGTTGTTGAGTACGGCGGTATTGTCTTATCGAATAAAATCTGGTGTCCTGTTTTTTGACGATGCTCATTAACCGCTAATATAATTATTTGTCATAGTCTGACTGATATCTTTTAGTCAAGTTGATATCTTTCGACCTGTTTTCCCGATGTACTCTTTGCCACAGCTGCACGGTATGCTCTAAACACCTGCTATTTCGAGAGCAATTTTGTCTTTTAGGGATCGTTGAGAGATTTTATTACAAGTAGTTATGTTCTTGAAGAATTTTTGATTTTTGACCGGTGACATTCTGAATAGATGAAGGGTCGTTTACTATATGTATTTGCATGTAGGATTCGGTCATCCGCGAAGCAATTAAAGCTCCCACCCATCATTCGAGCAATCACCAAATCAGTTTCAGACAGCGCTCTGAAGAAGCCAGCCATATTTGGCGAAACGTCAGTCAGGTAGAGTCAACATCCGATGCGAAAGATTCTTTGAAAAAAAAAAGCTTCTTCCCTTTGGCTAAAATTTATGTTTTAGGTAATCTCAATTTCCACTCCTTTTTCGGAAAATTAACAAATGATTTGTCAAGTAAGTTTTCGGCAATGCAGCGCGGACATATAAATTTCCCTTTTTTTTTTCATATCACGCATTAAAATTCACACATAATACCCAAAATTTTAAAGCTAAAAGCTATGGAGTTTTCAAAAATACGGAATATTTGAAATTATGTTGAATCCCTCCTTTCGGTTTTTGTTTTTAATTTCATTCAAGGTGCAGTTTATATGCAAATAGTTTTTTTGCTGATTGACTTCGCATGACTGGTTTAAGACTATTGAAGAAGAAGAGAAATACTTTTTAATTGTTTTTGCTCTTACTATGAACAATTATTTTTATATTTCATTATTAAAAGGTACTACCGTATTGAATGCTGGTACACTTCAAATCGCGCAACCAGGCGCGTGTGGTCTAGATGGTAAAATGCAGATATGTACCAATCAAGTCAACGGCCAGGGATCCTGCTACGGAGATTCAGGTGGACCTCTAGTCTACAACAATAAGGTCATAGGAATCGTTAGCTACGGCCCAGAGAACTGTAGCGGACAAGACGTGTTTACTAAAGTTTCTAATTATTTGGACTGGATAAATGCTAAACTCTAATAACATTAAATGAATTTGCAGGATCAGAATCGTCGTGAATAAAATTCATTATATTGTATTGTTCATTTTGGTCATTCCCCCTCAGTAGCAAATAATGCTCTGCTCAAGTTAACCCTAACAATTCTCAATTTTAAGGTGGTGACTGGTGTATTAACACATTGATGACTATCTTGATCAATTTTCCACTGAATGATATATGAAAAAATTATTATTGTTGTATTATTATGATTTTGGACTTTTGTATAATATTGCTTTTTAAAATAACATACCTAGATATCATCTGAACTATCCAAATTCGATGTATGTAAACGTGTAAAAACAACTCAACTTCAATCTCAACTATTTTTTACATTACTTAAGCAATGTGTACCAATTCAGCTGTTTGGATATTTTTTAATTGTCAAATTATTTTGCTTACATCATGTAATTAGATAGGAAACCAAAAATATTATGACTAAATGGAGGGAACGTCAGATTAGCAAGTCGTGTATCTTTTTATATGCGATTTGCGGAAAGGCATTGATGTCTCAGCAGGTCTACTATACCTTCCCCTAAAATAGTGACACAATAATAATATAGGCTATAACAGTTACAAGAGTCCTCTCCGTGATTACTGCAGGGGATTTGAACATCAAATAGATATCATTCGCCCAGTATGCTACTTACACTCAACCTGGATTGGTGTTAGTTAAGTAAGTAATGGCCCATCAAAATACTAAGTTGTTCCTGGACTTTCAAAAGTTTTCAAAGTTTTCACATTTTCAAATTATAAAATTATAGTACTTAAGTCAATTAGGTTTATGTTACTGTGTCTAGCGGTCTTGTCGGCATTTCGCCGAGGCCGTAGCCTTGTCCTCCTGCCAAACCTAACAAAAAAAAATCAGATATAGCCAAACTGATTGGATATCAACTTGGAATAGCACTTCCGGTCAAGCCAATTAAAAATGAATTGAGAGTGTGGAAAGTGCTATTTTACGACGACAGTTTCGTTACCTATGGCTACAACCCATTATGCGCAACTTTTTTCAATTCTGACGGTCATGTCACACGTTGTAGAAAAAGTGTAGTATGCAAATCGTTGATAAACTTCTAAACAATAAACTCAAGACTAATATGGCGTTAATCAAACTTTTTGCATAATATGTGGGTAGCCCCGTACATCTAACCTAACCCAAACTTAGGTTAACTACTAACAAAACTAACTGTGAATTTCTTCTTTTTTTTAAACTTGTACTTTTTCATGAATAAAAAGAACCAAAATTTACAGACCGATTATTAAATACTTTCTCCGTGGTATGGAAAATACTTTCCTTTATACCCGCATAAATATGCGGTTAATTGAGATTGGCGCTAGTAATTACTACTGTCCCGAATGTTTTTATGTCTGCCCTCAGATTAAACCGTTATTATTTCGTTAGGAAAGAAAAATAATATCAAACTCGCCCAATCAACAACTTTGTAAAACAAACAATCGAACCCTGAACTTAAACTTGTATCTACAGTTCTTAAGTGGGAAAAGCGTTGGGTAATAATTAAGACACAAAATATCATATCGTAGTGTACATAATCAAAGGTCGGTGATTTCCCAATAAATTCTTCAATATGCAAAATCATGGCTGACTATCTTGTTGGCTGAAAAATAAAATGTCGGTTAAGAAGAGCACGGATAACATAGAGTGAGCAAGTGATATTCTGAAAGAGCTGGCAATTTTACTTTCTTTCTTGGCACTTGATGTTGATGTATTAAGAGAGAGCCGAATATAAATTACAATATTGAATGAATTTTATTTATTATTTGAATAAATATTTCGATGTCATTAATGGCACACAAAACAGACATTTTAAATTTTTTTGGAGGGAGATCATATCTAGCACAACGACAAGTGTTTTATTTAGACAATGAAATATAGCTATCTGTATCGATATTGGCAACAATAATACTTTTTGAAGTACTTATTGTTGTTATATATTTTATAACTTGAATTAGTCAAAAAGTATTTTATTAACACAGACTAAAATCGACCAGAAATAAGTAATAGTAAAATATGAGAGGTTTAATCGCAATAGTATTAATCGGTTGTGCTGGTTTTTCTCTGGCCTTTCCTCAGGTAAAGCGTCATACAATTTTATGATTTTCCTTTATCGATTTTGGACTCATTAAAATTAAGTTATTAATATTTCTATCTCTTAGTGTTAGTTGAAGAAGTATCACAATTCTTCTGTTCTCTTGCTGAAACTTAAATATATTTAAGGCATTGCACAAATCTCATGCTACTAAGAAGTTTGTGGGGCCCAGAGTCATAAATGGAACAGAAGTTCAACCACACTCGGTACCTTATCAAGTTCTGGCAGGGTTCGATGACGGAAATGGCGGAGGTTGGTCTTGTGGAGCGGTACTACTTTCTGAATACTTCGTTTTAACCGCTGGCCACTGCATTTTTGAGTAAGTTTACAACAGTTATAACGTTTGTCTCATAAAAAATTTACAACTGGCGTGAACTAATATGAATCATAGGCAAAATTAATCATCTATCTTTTAAGTACTAGCGTCCTGGGAAAATAGTAAATACAGGACAGGCTACAACAACTAAATCTATCAAGTTTCATCAATTTGAACATCATTTTTACTTTCTATTATTATAATATATAGCACACATATTTTTGTCTTCAAATTGACCAGGGAATCATTCCTTACGCTTAAGCTACGTACTTAAAAAACGCCCCACATAAGAAATGGAAATTGCAAATACTAATTCCGTAACATTCAGGAGCGGCTTGTAAAATGTTGACAAATAAATTACAGTGGTTGCAAATCGTCATTTATCATCATTTAACGCAATGCGAATTCATAAAATCAAAAGTTTTGCGAAACTAACCAAAACTACTTCTAACCTATTTTTTTTAATGACTTAAGTAGGGTGGGGGTTAGGTCGGTGTTTATGCCCCTTATTTAGCTCCGCCCCCTCAAACAATACATAGGCATGTATAGAGTAAAATGCGAGCCAGTTTCAGTCAAGCTCTGAAGAAGCGAACAGGATGATTGACGAAACGTTAGATTGTTCGAGTCAACATAAGCCGACGCAAGTTTTATAAAAAGTATTACAGTAGCCTGTGGAAGTTTCTTTGAAAAATTAATCGTGACATTTATTTTTCACGATATCTATAAAACTGTTGCACTTAAACGTGGTATATTTCCAAAGCATTGGGGCGCATCCTGAAAGGACATTGACTGAAATCTGTTTATAACTAATTCATAAAACAACAACCATCAATAATTTATATCGAGTATTCCTTAGAAAAATAACTGATGAAATGAAACTTGTTTTAAAGCAATGCCCAGTCCTTGTTGAATATTGCAAATATTGCATTTCCGTTGTAGGTCTGTGGCATCAGATATCATTTTGGGTGTGCATGATATGAGTAAAACTGAAACTGACACAAGACAAGTCTTTAGATCTTATGAGCTGTTTTTACACGAGGCTTACGATGACGACTATTTACACAACGATATAGGCTTGGTTAAGCTGCCTCAGCCGGCTCAGTTTACATCGTATGTACAACCAATATCCTTACCAACTCAAGGGGAAGTGCAAAATATTATTGGCCAGTATGTCACCGTGTACGGTTGGGGACTTATTGATGGTGTTCGAAACATAGGTAATAAAACAAAATTACATTATTAATATATTATAAGTTCATAGGCTAACTATTTACATACTCTCCAATTATTTTGCAACAGAAAAATATCCAAAAATACTCCACAAAGTCAATATTGTTTTCGCTATCTCTTGACAATAGGCAACTTTGTATCTATTTCAAAACTCACTACACTGTCGCGACTACTCGGCATCCATTATTAATAGCAGATTAGATCAAGATCAGAAAAATCAACAAGTTTATGGAATTGCAGGACCTAATTTTCTTGCTTTGCTAAGCGGTGGAATAGCCGAAAGACCTTTTCAGATTGCACGATTGTGTAATGTTATCCAAATATGTGAAATGTTCCGCTATGCATAAGCAAAAAGTCGAAAGCTGATTGGGGCAATTTTCGCTGGGCAACACAGTTATACTTCAACCAGAAATATAGTGTTTTTACAACCGACCCCGTGATTGACTTTGTCTACTGTTTATTACTTCAAAATCGCAGTCCCTTATAGAACACACTTCCGAGCAGAACCTTACCCGAAACCATTCCAGGACCGTCCTAGGAATTTATCTAACTACACTAACAAGCGGGATATAAATATATTTTCAATCTTTTTGGCCGCACAATTCTTGAAACATGTACATAAAAAAATTAGTAGAAAGTAACATTTTAATACGTTCCATTTCTTTATATTTCTGCATATTATCATTATTAATATACAAAATATTAAATATAATAATAATAATAAAGTATCAGTCACTTAAAACATCATCACTATAGCTGCTGTAGTCACCTAGTTCAATGATCAACTCCGCTACTAATCGTTCTCGATAAATATTTTCTTCTTTTATTGTTTATTAGCACTTGACGTTTGATAATTGTTTGGAATTGATAATGCATTTTCTGCAAAAAGTATGCAACGAATCTTTGGCACAACTAATGCTTAAGTCTGTCAGTACTTTTTTATGCAGTTCTTCTATTATTCACTTTATAAGCGTCGTAAATTATAATCCTAATTAGATCCGCGTGTTGCTCTTTAAAAACTTGCGAAGTACCAGCATCTTCCCTCACTTTCCCGTTGACTATCCCATTTGCAACAATATTTCTTACAGTTGACTTCGGAACTTTGGTCATGTCACTTGTTTTTATTGTTACTCCTAATTCCCCTTCTGAATTTCTTACAGAATTGTAAATATTCAAAACAATTTCTTCAGCATCCGAAGACAAATGAATTCGTTTTTTTATTTACTGAGGTAGTTCGTTTTCTAAATTGTCATTAAGTGCTACTACCATTTCCACTTCGCCTCCAAATTTTTCTTTCTTCTGCTTCATCCTACGGTCTCCACATTTAAAAGGGTTAAAAAACAGGACCTTTAAAAAATGTTTAAGTGTAAGATTCTAATAAATATTTATCTGTATTCTTATGATGTACCTTTATCTACCGCGAATATAATCAATAGTCTTAAAAAAGACTGTTATTTACAGATCTAAGAACTATGTAAAAGACACAAAAATACAAGAAGAAGGCAGGCACACAAGACAAAAATGATTGTTTTAAAACTTACCTGTAAGATAAATAGAGTACAAGTACTTATCCTTGTCCTTTGAACTATCCAGTGAAAACAGCCTCACAGGGTCAAAGCTCGAATATCAGGTACATAAATACCTCCGTAAGATATACGAACATATTGCAATTTAGATTAAACTCTTAAGAACAATACATATCACCTGATGTTAAAATAAACGCTTCTACTTATTCGAAAATACCCCGCAGCATCAATGCTTAATCAAATTTAAAACGGTCCATTTACGTTTCAAATAAAAATTTCCAATTTCAACAAATATCCGTTATGGTCCATCTCAGGGAAGGCCTACTTAATGCGGATACAAATCTGTTGGGATGGGTTTTACCACGGTCCTGCGAAGGTCTGCGGGTGAAACGTCAAAGCAATAAATGCACTATATTTTTGGTCGTATTATGCATAGTTGGTCAGCTACCGGCTGTTTTGTTACGTGCAGAAACACGATCAAACAAATCACTAAAGTAAATATACATCTTCACACTTGGTTAGGTACTTTTGCTCCTTTATTACTGCATTGGAAAAGGGAAGAGATACTGGCGCGAGTAATAAGGTTGATTTGCCTGAACCGTTTTCATTAAAATTGCTATAGGTGTAAAACTGATTCCGTGAAAAAGAGACAAAGGGCTCAAACTGACATTGGTCAAGTTTGTATAATAGTTAATGCTCAGATTTCTTGTTTTTTCATTTTTTCACTTTTTTCCTGAGTTTCTTAGCGAGTGGTTTGAAATGGTTTGATGAAATTAAAATAAACGAACTCATTTGATTTGCGTATTTTGTTTGTGACGTGGCAAATAGGCACCAGCGTGTTAAGCAAAGGTACCCTGCAAGTAGTCGACGATTCCGCTTGTCTCCAAGAAGCCGGCGACTTTCAAAGTCAGTCGCAGATTTGTGCTCTTCAAGTAAATGGACAAGGCGCTTGCTCGGGTGATTCGGGTGGTCCTCTGGTATACAATAACAAAGTGATAGGAGTCGTCAGTTATGGACCCGAACATTGTGTAGGAGAACCTGACATCTTTACAAAGGTTTCTAACTACTTGGATTGGATTCATGGGAAAATGCAATAAACTACCAATGTAAATGCTAAAAATATATGGTTGTAAAACTCAATATCTTTCTTCATTCCTAATGTGTTAGATGTTAATAGTATATCATTCAACCAGTTTCACGAGATGGACTTGGTACAAGGGCAGCGGCGGATTGCTGGAAGTATAGTATGCAACACGTTCGGTAAACTTTTTAACTCATTCGTTTATTAAACACTAATTTTTGCTAAAAATGGCAACTTCTCTAATAAATATTAACGAAACATATAAACTAAATTTGGTTAAAAATTTCACGAATTTCTGTTTATGACAAATAAACCATAAGCTGCAAACATTACATTACGAATTATTTCAGCGTTGGCGTTCCATTCTTGTTTACTTATACATTAGACTAATTTCAAAATTGCAAAATTTTTCGAAAATGTTATTATTTCCGCAATGTTATATTTTTTATAAGCGAATTTTATATAAAAATATGTTTCAGTACCACGGAATTTTAAATTGTCACTGCTGTTTTCCAATCTAGAGTGAAATGTTTTTCAATATAAATGTGTAAAAATATTTACGTAATTCCTATTTTTACTTTACCAAAGATAACTAACGGGAGTCTTGCAAATATGCATATCTTAGCAATCGCACAATGCAAACGAGTGTTTTTAAGAGATAATTTGGGATGAATTTACAATTTTTATGAGGTCGAGTAGCATTGTTCGTCAATTCAAGAAAACAGAAATTAATTTCAAACACTTTAAAATTTCCGATGTTTATTGTACGTTTACGTTATCAAGAATAATATCCTGCACACACGTTTGTTCAAATCGCTACAAAATCGAAGCTAATTTGTATTTTATATCGACATCTAATATGTTGTACCTAAGTTCGCGAACTAATTGGTGAAACAACAAAATAATATTTCGGAAAACCTATTTATATTGGTATAATAAAAAGCAAATAATAGTATGTTAAGCAACAAGTGCGGTAAACGGCATTTGACTTACGAGTTTATTTGACTGGAGCGGCGCGAGTGTTTAATAAACGAGTGACTTCTCTAAGACCGTCAGTTTTTCGGTACGTTTTAGCAAAGCAACACAATCAATCACAATTCAAGGCGTGGGAAATATCTCCGATAACATCCGATTGCTCCCAAACCAGTGCGGTAAAATCCCGGAAATGTCCGAAGTGGCTCAGATCCGTGGGAAACGAAACTGAAGTGGTAAAGTGGCGCTTTCCGCATGTTAGGTCGGTGTGTAGTCACTAGAAAAATATTTTTAATCAATGTTTGTTAATGGTCCGATTCCACAGTCGGCAGGTTCATATAATAAACTATTGTTATTCAATTTTTCGGTTGCTATTTATTTATAGTTAAATAAATTGATCGTAATTGAAACCTGCGGATAAGAATAGACGCACGTATGATTACTATTATAAAATTTTGCATTATTTTAAATTCTAAATTTATTTATGACATATTAGATACTATATAACCAAATTTATTGAATGAAAAACAATAGCGGTGATGAAATAATTCCTCGGTTTACGTAAACACTTCAGTGTGCGACAAAAGAAACAATAATTTTTATCTGATTTAGTGCTTGAATAATCGCCAAACTGCATTTATGAAACAAAATGTTTTTGTCGAGATACTTGAATTAGATAGTAATTAGTGTCAATGATTGGTCACATGCGAGTAGAATACAAAAGCCTGAATGTAATTCGAATTATTCGAAATCCCTAGTTGGCATTTTTCCTTGCGGTTTGTCGCTTTTGGTATTAATAACTCACAGAACATAAAGAAAAAGATCTTACGCATTCTTTCCCGGCGTACCGTACTAGATGGCACAATGTTTAAAAAATTGATTTAGCACGGAAGTTCTAGAACACGGTTTATTGAGATATTTTAGAGCGATCAAGCACCTTTTTTTATATAAACCTGTAGAATTTACGGTAAATCATGATCCGGTATTGATCACTGTGATATGCCAATATAGATTAATTTATAACATTGCAAATATATTTTTTTTCAAACATTTGATCGTATCATTTGGGAACTCGGCATCGAACCAGAAACTAATTTATACTTAAGTTATTAATGGTAAAGTTTTATCGTTCGTTTGCTTGGCCACTCCCTTTTTGACCACTTTTCCTAAGTATAAAAAACATCGAGGGGTAAACAGCAGATGAAATGAGGTGCACTCTATGAAGAAATTCTGAGAAGAATGCTAAGGAATGTGAGCAGAATTTCAAGGAATTATAAATAATTAAAGGAATTGCAGTGTGTATCCCCCCGTTTGCGCGGTTTACCCATCGGAGAAAAGCAAACAAACTAAATTAGAATGGGTTAAACTGACAAAGTGATAGAAAATTTGTAGTCGCAGAAGTCAATTTTATCATTATATTGGATTAAATTTTGGAAAACATTTTATCAAACGTGAAACAAAGGCTACTCTACAATATTATAATGGGTGTTTTTTTTTCGATCTATAGAACTTTAAGTTGGCATTACTGTTCAAGCTGGCGACCGATTTAGCAGCTGTCAAGTGATTTATTCTCAGTTTGGTTTGGCAATTCATCATGAATAGACTCACGCCTGAACAACGCTTGCAAATAGTGCGATTCTATTTCGAAAATAATGGTTCTGTGCGGAATACGTACCGCGCACTACGTCCATTTTATCGTCGATAAACCATGGAACGTTTTCGCTCCACGTTTACTCTTATTCATAACCCGCATCCCCAGAGACGCCGTACGGTGCGTACAGAAGAAGCTATTGCTGCTGTAGAGCGTAGCATTGAGGAAGACCCGAATGAGTCCATCCGCCATCGAGCACAGGAATTGGATCTGTGTCTATCCACTTTATGGAAGATTTTGCGGAAGGATCTTGGTTTATGTGCTTACAAAATCCAACTCGTGCAAGAATTGAAGCCAAACGATCATCAAGTAAGGCGTAGATTCGTCGAATGGGCCCAAAACGAGATTACCGTTGTTCCCGATTTTCATAAGCGAATTTTGTTTAGCGATGAAGCGCACTTCTGCTTGAATCTCTACGTCAACAAACAAAACTGCCGCATTTGAAGCGAAGCTAATCCTCAAGTGTATGTCGAAACACAGTTACATCCAAAAAAACTGACTGTTTGGTGCGCTTTATGGGCTGGTGGAATCATTGGTCCGTACTTCTTCAAAAACGATGATGGCTAGAACGTTACAGTCGATGGTGATCGGTATAGAGCTATGATTACTAACTCTTTCATTCCTGAATTGAATAACCATGATGTCCAGGAGATGTGGTTTCAACAAGACGGCGCAACATGTCACACAGCTCGTGCCACAATCGATTTATTGAAAGACACGTTTGGCGACCACCTAATTTCAAGTTTTGGACTTGTGAATTGGCCTCCAAGATCTTGTGATTTAACACCGCTAGACTACTTTCCGTGGGGCTATGTAAAGTCATTGGTCTATGCGGATAAGCCACAAACGCTTGACCATTTGGAAGACAACATTCGCCGTGTTATTGCCGATATATGGCTACAAATGTTGGAAAAAGTCATCGAAAATTGGACGTCCAGATTGGACTACATCCGCGCCAGCCGTGGCGGTCATATTCCAGAAATCATATTTAAAATGTAATGCCACAAGATTATCTTTCGGATAAATAAAATTCATGTCAATCGAATAATCCATCTTTGTTTTATTGCAACTTAAAGTTCTATACATCGAAAAAAAACGCCCCTTACAAGGCATAATACAAATAACTATAATTCTATTGAGAAATGAAGGAAGTTTTAGCGTTGATGAGAGTGTAACTAGACACAATTTGACTAGAAACTTGTGCCTAGATTGTCATTATTAAAAATTATATCAATAATCCGGATTTTATGTACTGTTATCTTCGAGAGAGGCAGTACTTCCCCTACTGCTTTAAAAGTACTGGGATTACATCACCGACCTAAAATAATTACGAAATAAACACCAAGAAACTGTTCGTCAAAAGGGTTGACGAAGTATCACTGGATATTCCCAAATGTCTTCAATCTACAGTAGAAGTTCCTTTAATAACATCTTAGTAATTTCAGAATTATATCAAAAGTTTCCCGATATTTCGACGGCGAATTCTCAGATCGACGGAGCAGTTTCGCTAACGTTTATAACGAATTCGGTCCCAGGGCGCTGAAAATTGCATTTTTACTGATAAAGCAAAAAGCACACCACCGAGACTAGTCGAGCAACTTTTATCGACAGCTAAGTAACTCAACGTGTCATATTTACTTGGGGATAGCTGGCGGATCTCGTATTTTTTGGTATTACGCTAAAGGAAGTTAAAATTAAATATTAAAATTATTGAACTGAGGAGGCTTTTACTTGATGAAAATCCATTTATCAAAATAAATAATTAATTATTTTGATTAAAATTATTATAATGATATACCTGGATCTCGGAACTGGTGTATTCAAATTAGGGCAAAGTTGTGTATCCCGAAATTTCCAGTTTTCGATTTTATTTTTTTACAAGGCTTATTTTAAAATAAAAAAATTAAATAAATTCTTATAGGAACTTTTTGAGACTCATCTTTTGTCGCGGCCCAACCAGGATTTATCTTAGTAAAACCATTGCAACTTTGATTGAATAGAGCATCTGCAATTCATTTTTCGTTTATGGATTACAAGATGTAATTGTAGTTTAGTAATATTTAAAAAAAATGAAAACAGTAAGCGAGAAAACTAAGGTGTCTGTGGTGGATGATTTCACTTCACGAACTGGACATCCACAAAATGGTCACTATGCCAGGTGAGTGCGACATATCTACTAGACTTCCACGTGTCCATTATTTGTGTCAAGAGTTTTAATTGAATGAATTGTTTGGTTTTCGAAATACCCTCCTACATTTTTAAACCTGCCAGTATCGAGTACGTTTTTATCGATCACTTTATGGAGATAACAATATAGTAATTTAAATAGAGCATATAAACAAAAAGTTGACATCTTCAATAATTAGATTCTGAACGAACATGAAGTGCTCAGTTGTTCTGTTGTGCCTTGCATTAGCCGTACCGTCTTTTGGATGGCGGTTGCCGAAATTGAAGGTAACATTTTGCTAACGGTATTTATTTGATCGTACTAAATGGAAAAGGGAAAACGAAAGTCAAATTTTTAAGTGTCATCTTAACCGTGTTGATTTAATAGGAATTTTCATTTAACATCCGCAATATTCTTGGAATGTCAAACTATAAAGTTTAAATAATGAAGGTGAATGCAATTTGAGCTCCATATCCCATCTCTCTTCTGAAGATTTTATGCATGTTAATTAAAATCAATGTTCAACAGAAAGGAGGCGTCATTCCCAGGATTGTAAATGGCCAAGAAGTAGCGCCCCACTCATTCCCATTCCAAGTATTGGCGGGATTTGATGACGGTAATGGCGGTGGATGGTCGTGTGGTGCAGCTCTAATTAGTGCATACTGGGTGCTCACAGCAGGTCACTGCATATTTGAGTCAGTTGCTTGATACCACCAACACCAAACTGTCAATTTTTCAATGAATGTTTTTTTCAGATCGGTGGCCTCTGATATCATCTTGGGAGTGCACAATATGAGTTTGACGGAACCAGACACGCGTCAAATATTTAGATCATACGAACTTCATTTACACGACAATTGGGATCAAAGCAATGACATCGGCCTTGTTAAGCTTCCTCAAGCCGCCCAGTTTACTTGGGCAGTTCAACCAGTAAGCCTCATTACCGCACAAGAGGCTTCTCAAATTCAAATTGGCGCCGACGTGGTAGTTATCGGATGGGGTATTCTTCAGTTTGACGGTTGGATAACCAGCGATGTCCTTAGACAGGGAACGGAGAAGGTGGCTGACGAATCGGCTTGTGCCACTTACGGATTCAATAAAGATACACAAGTGTGCGCTAGTATGGCGTACGGACAAGGATCGTGCGTCGGCGACTCTGGTGGGCCGTTGCTTTGGAACAACAAGGTCATTGGTATAGTGTCGTATGGGCCTCAGGATTGCCTATTAGGCGGTGCAGATGTATACACTAAGGTAGCGACTTATCTGGATTGGATTCACAGTATAACTGGTGATCTCTAACTTGCAAATAAAATTTGAAAATGAAAAAAAAATCCTATTATTGTGTTTTTGAATGATGCGAACAACCCATTTAATGAAAAAATCAAGAAGGAAGACCACTCCGTAACTGGAAAGACAATGACCTTGAATATTGCACCCTATAACTTAATATCCACGTGTGGTTTTTACTTTAAGTTTTTTACAACTCCCACATCACTTTCCGTCTATCCCTTTTAAAAGCGGGAGTTCCCCTATAAAATTTCCCATTATGACCAACCTTACCTTACATGACGGTATCTCAGAAAGTATTGGTATTAAATGGAAATTGGTAAATCGGCTAAGAAAAAAAACAACTTTTGAAAGTATGCCACGAAGTTATTTGTGGCGAGGCAAGAAGAGAATAACTAAAACACATTTCCTGTGTTCGAGGAAAATTTGAAAAAAGTAGACATTGAATTATCCATCCACAAGTATTTTTTAAGTCTTGTAGTTATTCTCACGGTTCTATCAAACTTTTTTACCCAAATTTATTGAAATGCGGATGCCGCTACACAGTCAGATCAGAGCAACTTTAATTCTAAAAATCAACATAGATTACAAACAATGAACAGGTGCAACCTCCACAGTCACTAGAGAAATTCCCCTATTTGTGCATTTGCATCTGGATCTTTCAAACGCAACCGAACAAGTGGAACAAACATCAGTAATATAGAAGACGCTTACGGTTATCTAATCTAATTATAATTCTATTCGTAAAAAGGTAAGCACCCAAATAGATAAATAACTCTTAATCGTTACTCTGCCAATAAATAGACACATACAGTAGTTCTTGCCGATCTAATACGGCAGAGTGACGCCATGTAATAAATCATAATCATCTGGCTCCCTTAGCATGCTGTTAAATTGTATGATTCATCATATTTGATATAATTGGGCCATGCATTTTGAAATTGGCAAGATTAATTGTTGTTTTATAAACTCCGTTTACCAAATAAAGCGTCCAGGTTTTACGTTAAGATAGTTATTATAAACACTAATCTAAAATTCAACGGTTTTCAGCACTAATGATAAATTTAATATTTTAATCAATAAAAATAAAATCTTTTAATTATAGACATAGAAATTACCAGATCCAGTAAATACTAATATATTTTATTAATATTTTGGAAAGTAGTTGAGATGAATATGAACAATTTTATTAAAAGCGATTTTTAAAAATTCAATAATGAGTTAATCCATCACGTAGGTGACTGTTGTGATAGGTTCTACCAGGATAATTTTACTTCATGGCGTACACGTTATACATCCAGGGTAAGACGTGGCAACCCAGTCCAGAGTAAGTCATATACTTTTAATAGGCGATAATTCGGAAGTCGAAACAAGAACCCGACAAACTAATATCACCATATTAGCATGTTCAGAACCCGAAGAACAAATATAAAACAGGCCAGCATTTGATTTTCGAAAGGGTTTGAACAACAACATTTCAAATCCAACAAGGCAGAAGTTTAAGAAGTTTATAAATGTTAGTGAAACAGAATAGTATGGTTTGAGCATTTTAGAAAATAAGCTACACATGTATTCATAATGAAAAAGTTTAACAAATTCTTGTGGACAATAGCTTAGCAACTTATGCAAGAATTCATGAACCTTTAGGACGTTTTTTTTTTGGCTAAAAATTATGCACTCATCAAAGATGCGGAAAGTGTCACTTTAACACGACAGCTTCCTTACCCATTACCGATAGCCACTTCGGACATTTCTGGTAGCTCAATTATGGGTTTGAGCGCGGTCGAAATCCACGATGACGTCACAAGTCACTTTTTTTTTTAATAAAACTTTATTCAGTCGGACACTACATATACATATTATAATTACATTGTAATACCCTATTGTACTATCAAGACATGAATTAAAATTAGTTTTCAAGCAATGCGTTAAGCATTGTTACCAAAAGCATTTCGACTGAATTATCTAATAATAATCTAGTATGCGAGTCATGCAAGAATTTAATTAAATGTATTTTGTCATTGCATAAATATTTTTTAAGTTTTTAACAAAAATATTACTCTGATTTTGTATGTATTTAAGGCCGCACTTATTGGATTTTGCAATTATTTATTTGTTCTGGTATTCCGCGACTGTATGTCAGTATGCTTGAAGGTGGTAGACACTGATTCAGTAGAAATACTAATAGGATGTCGAACTTCCATTGTTTTTATTTTTAACTTACAAAACGTTTCGGACAGTTATATCACTGCCCGTTATCAAGTGTAAACAGTAAACGTTGTGTAAGTTAAAACTAAAGACAATGGAAGTTCGACATCCTTTTAGTATTTCTGTATGTCAGTATGATTCCTTAAGTTGTGTTATTGATATGGATTTTTTGGTGTTGCTTTTACTTTTGTTCTGAATTATTTAAAAAGATAAGTTTCGATTGTTAAAATTTTAATATAATTTCAATAGGATTAATTTGATTAATTCGAAATAAAAAACAAATACAGACAACATTAAACTCTATTTATCCGAAACCAAATACAGAACACGAACAATTTAAAACAATTACATATTTAGGAGAAAAAGTTTCAAAACATTTGTCAAAATGTGGTTTAAAAATAGCTTTCAGAACTAACAATACAATAGGAAAATACTTAAAAAACAATAAATCGAAATGTCCAAAATCCCAAAAATCAGGTGTCTACAGGTTAAAATGTGGATCTTGTCCTAAAATTTATATTGGACAAACAGGTAGATCCTTCAAGAAACGCATTAACGAACATATAACATAAAACATAACAACATAAAAAACAATAAAACAAAAAAAAAACATAAAAATAATAGTCTGATATTTGCACTTTTTGTTTGTAGGATCTCTATTATCATTTTGCAATATATTTTTCATGAAACTCTAAAATATAAAACTAAAATCCGATGTTTAAATAATTGCGCTGCTTAGTAGTAGCCGCAGAAATTGGTTATGGTTATTAATTCTTACAGTGGCTTTTAGAAGCAGGAACAAAATATTACAAGATTACCAAGGTCACTTAATTTCTAAAATCTGTAATTGGTAACTACCAAATGCAAATTATTGATTCATATTCCTTAGATAATAACGAATCATAAACTCGGCGTATTTCTTTCAGGAACGGAGAACGGGTCGAGGGAGGGCAACTTGTCACGAGACTTGAAAGATTCAAATGGAAAGAAGAAACGAACGTTGGCACATGTGATTTGTGAGGCACGAACCGAAACGGCAACTCCTATCAAAGGATCCAATCGGGCAAAATTTTTCAAAGTTTCGGTGATAAGTCAAGGGGGGATTCTTAGGGTGGCACGCGAACGTTCCGACAGTTCAAAGTGCGAACGTGAGTTGAGCACAAGGGGAGGCATGTCCGGTTGACGATCAACCCTTAAACTTTCGGAAATCATGTGGGGTTAGGAGACGAAGAATGAACTTTGGACGTTACTGGACTTTGAAGTTTTGTTAAGTGGCATCGATTTTAAAAAGTTTTTATTACCTTCATTTTTATATTATTTGACGGGTATATAGAAAAATTATCGCTAAAAAAGTTGGCATTATAAGTCTCGGTAAGAAAATCTTTATTAATGATGTTTTCGGAAATTTCATTTTGGCTTTAACTTTGTAACGATAAAGTCACTGATAGGAAATAATTTTGATGAAGTTTCTTTCTTAATAAAAAAATATAAGATTTCAACCAATTTACATTTTTCATTCTATTTTTATACAAAAATCAGTTTTCTCATACATAGATTTCTAATTATGGATATATGTCTAGCAAATAATTTTACGGATATTTTCACACTGATGATTGATGCAGAAAGAATTATTTATGCACCTTCGCTTTTGGTTTTCATTAATAACGAAAATTTAAATTTGATGACAAAAAAACATATTGCTAGAAACATTTAATATATTTTTTTAAATACACCTTATCTTTGATGGTGGTCATCCGACTGTTTCAAAAAACGGCGGGAACTTTATAGAGACTGCATCATATTAAGAATGTATAAAATACTTATTCTAATTAATAATCCTAAATAGGAAACACAAAAAATAAATAATGTGTTGTCCATGAATTTTGAAATTTTCTGACGAAATGAAAAGCTCAATAGGATACCTTTTTTCCGTAATAGAATCATGAATTAAATGACCACGAATATTCATTTATTCGGCATAAGATGGGAATTTTGAAGCTCCTTTGTTTTATTAATATCTAAACAGAATAACTTTCCCAATATAAAATAAATTAAAACGCAAGATTCATTCTAAACGAAATTTAAGAATGCTGTAATAAGTTGCCATTTTATGGGGTACAATTTACAGATGACATTTTCAAAAGAAAAGAAGGAGTAGCAAACTCCTAGTTACCTTTGGCTGTGAAGGCTTCTTGTTCTCACTTACCTGGAAAAAAAAGAAAAAATATTAATTCAGGAGAGTGTTAATAACAAATGCAACAATAATTAACAAATTCATCCGAGTCTGTGTTTATGCAGTTTCCGTAAATTCCAGTCACAATATAATCCAGATTTTGACATGACGCCACACCGGACCCGTTAGACTTTGGATAAATCGTCACTGCTTTCACTAAATATAATTTTAAATAAAATCAATTACTGCTATGAATTTCTAGAAGCTTATCATTTAAATTATGAGAGGTGTGTATAATGAAAAATCGATGACCGGGGACTATTCAAATTCAAATTCCAACATCACCACTTTTTACAGAAAATGTAAATCGAACATATTTAAAGTATGTTTAAATTTAAAGGGAAATTTTTATACCATTCGTAACATAAGAATCGTCAGTTAGCAAAATCAGTTAAAATTTATGTATATAGTTCAGTCAACGTCAGACGTTTGCAAAAGGTTTCATGTTTTTCTGGAAATTAATTTCTAAGGATAGGTTTGGTTTTGAATGGACGCTATATCAAAAAACTTGTGAGACAAAATTTGCGATATCCAATATTGTCTGAGGGTTCTGTTTTATAAATCTGACGAAAGAGTTACTCAGGATAAGTAGGTAGTAAGTAAAATA